TCTGGTGTCTGCATGGGGCTTCCCGACCAGTGCGAGTTCGGGATTGGTGATGACGAGATGCTCGAGAGTGCGATCGGCGACTGTGCTCATGGCGGGCGCCGCGCTGGGAACGCGACGTTGCTGGGGAACGGCGTCGAGGTGAACGTGGTTGGCGAGAATGAGGAGAACGGCTTCTGGGGTGACCGGGAAGAGCGATGGTCCCGGGAAGTAGGTGGTTGTGAAAGTGGTTGCCTGGGTCGGGGTCGTGGTGCGTAAGGGTTGGGGGGAGGTGGACCGGTGGTGCGAGGGTGAGAAAGTGGAGGCCTGGGTCGAGGGGCTTGTAGTCGTGGTGGTGGAAAATGAGGGCTGGTGAGGTGTGTTGGTGGGGAGGGTGGAAATTGTGGGGGAGTGGAAACATGTGGCCGAGGGAGGGGAATGGGGGAAAATGTGAACGTGGGGGGCGTGGTGTAAGAGGTGGTCCGGAAGGTGCGGGGTTCGAGGTGCTGGCATGATGGGGAGTGTCGCCGGTGACGAGGCGGGGATGGATCTAGGACTGGAGAACCGCTGGCAATTTCGGTAACCGGTGGTGGGTTGATGGAAGGCAAAGCGGTATTGTCATCATCGCTGTAGTCCACTTCATCCCGAGATCGAGAACTGCGTCCGGGTTCACGTCGTCGATGAGCTCGATGGGATTCCGGAGAGGAACCAGAGCTCGCCATGATGCAGAGAGGTAAAACCGGGAAGTGTTGAAAAGATCCAAAGAAGACATAAAGTGGCATACATGCAAGGATTGAATGACCATACATTCGGGTGGAAAATGTCAGAATCATGTCCTGGCAGCTGGAGCCAGTAGAAGACTGAAGTGAAAAATAGTGAATGTCAGAAGGAAAATAAACAAGCAGGGAAGTGTCAAATGGCCATTCAACTCGACCATGAAAATTAGAAAAAAGGAAAAATTCAAAGCGGCAAGAAAAAGTGCGCCTGATTTGTCATCGGTCGCATGAGGAAACAAGCCGACTAAGATCTGGTCGATCGAGGTCGAGAGCGGGACCGGGAGCGAATATTCAATCGGGTCCGAGGTACGAAACGAGAGGACGGAGGTTCAGAAGATGGAGGCACGCGGTTGGAGGTATTGTGAGTCCTGGTAGTCCACGAAGGAGTCGGTGTAGAAGGAAGACAGGAGGAGGAGAAGGCGTAGATAGAGATGCACGATCGCCAAAGTCCGTGCGGCCTTGAAGTTCAGCTTCAAGTTGTTCAGGACTGTGATGTATAATATGAAGAATGCCCAAAGCAGTGAGGAGTTCATGGGTGTAGTGAAGGGCAGTGTGGTTCACTCGAAGTGCGAGAAGGAGAGTGTTGTCCAGACCTTCAAGTTGAGCTCGGAGGTGTGGGTGCGTCACACGATCCATAAGTGGAGTGGAACGGAGGCAAAGCGGGCGATGTAGAATAGCGTGGATCTGAGCCAAGAACGCATGTACGAGCAGAAGTTCACGATGTAGAACCGCTTGAGCGACCGGTGGAAGTCCTGGAATCGGTGCGAGACCGCAAGGCGGGGTAGGCGTAGAGGCCATAGCGAGAGGAGGGCGGCGAGGGACGAGACGGATCAACACGAGCGGGTGCTTATGAGCCAATTTGTGGAAAGTAATAATACTGAAAAACAAGTGACCGGGGCAAGAATGAAGTGTGTAGAGTATAACAAGGATAAACAAGGAAAGCCGAAAGGCATCTGAGAGGAATCTTTTCTGAAACCCGCCAAAGGTCGAGTATGTGAGAAACTAAAATCGAAATCGTCGCGAGGGAGGTCAAGAGCGAGAGCGTGAGCGAGAGCGTGGCATCCTCGGCGATGTCGAAGTGTGGACCGAAGGGGGAGGAAGGGAGTGAGTAGTGAGATAGTGAGAGGAGGAGATGGGCCAGTGGTAGTCGTCGGTGGAGTCGTCGATGGCGGAGAAGGTGGAGAGAAGATCAATCGAGGTAAATCAAGGGAGGAGGAATTGAGATCGGGGGAAGGAGTAGTCAAGCGGCGAATGGGATGTAGAAGTTCCAAAGCGGCACAAAGTTGATCTGTGTACACCAAGGTAGTACAAGTAGATCGTCGTATCTGTTCCAGGCTGGTCTCCAGGGCACGAAGGGTAGCGCTAAGACGAGGGCAGGTGATCGTGTCCACAACATTGGGGGTAACGGTATCCCAAGGTCCTCGCAGGATCAAGAGGATCAAGTGTAAGGAAGAATGTATGTGAAGAAGTTCACGGTGGAGTACGACATGAGCTGCAGAAGGTAGGCCGGCAACTGGAGCTAGTCCTGTAGGAAGAGTCAGCGGCGTCGTAGTCGATGAAGACATGGCAGCGAGTCGAATCGAAACGGGGGCAGAGGGGGCGAGTGGTATAGATCGTAAGAGGTCCTAGAGCCGAGGGAAGCCGGAACAGCGAAAAGGGGCAAAACCTGTCAATGCTCAAGGTCAAGGTGTAACTACAAGCAAAACAATAAGAAGGTGTGGTGACTCATTCTCCGATGGGCGAATCGATGGAGGGAGGGCAAAGTTATGTATTCCTCGGATTTGAACGAGGGTGAGATCGAGAGCGAGAGCGAGTCGTAATGGCTCGAATCTCGGCAGCGGAAAGAGTGCGGTTCGAAGTAGTAACCACAATACCAGGTGTAGACCGTGATGTAGATGTCCGAGGTGGAGGGAAAGGTGGTGCATCTGGAGCGGAACTGGTAGGTGTCATTCGTCGAGTCGAAGAGGAGCCAAAAAGTAGAAGGAGAGGTAGGAGGAAGGCGTGGGTCTGGACAAGTGGTGCGTCCACGTAGTTCTGCGTCCAGTTGAGCAGTGTCGTAGGTCAGGGCGTGAATCATGCCAAAGGTAGTGAGAAGTTCCTGAATGTAGTGCAAACCGGTATGAATCGCCTGAGTCGTCTGGCAAATCGCAGAATCAAGTCCTCGGATCTGTACCTGAAGGTGTGGCGAGGTGATGTAGTCCAGAAAGGAAGGAGAAAGGATGGCGAGACGAGTACGAAGGAGTGAAATGGTAAGAGTCAGTAGGCCATGTACGTGGAGGGTTTCTCGATGAAGAATAGCTTGGGCGCGCATCGGTATGCCCTCCACGGGAGCGAGGCCGGCAGGGGAAGGATGCACGGCGAGAGAGAATCGGGTCAACTGAAAAACTAAGGTTCCAACAGGTTGCAATGAACCTTGAACAGGCTTCAGCCGCTGCGGCCACGTACGCCGTGCCAAAATGGCTGGCTGCTTAGACCGCTGCGGTCACGTAAAGGCATGAGCCAACTTGGAATTCCAAAGATGAGACAAAAATCATCGTACGTACGGCCTAGGCCACCTTCGCCCGCTGTGGGCACTTACGTTTCCAAAGCAAGGGAAACAGCGACAAACCCCCGTTCAACGGGTCCACGGGAGGCACTCTGCGGGCTCATCCCGGGTTGGCACGAGGCCAAACACACTTATTGGATATGCGTACTGACTTGACAGCGGTGCCACACGCCAGCCTAAGAGACCCAAATCCTGAAAGGTCCAGGAAAGTCCTAAAGAACCTGGAGGTCTGTAAGAAGAAGTGAGGCCAAAAGCTCAAGGTCGAAGACGGCGAGCGAGTCGAACAGGGTGACGGCGGCTCGTGCACATCTGCAGAAAGTGAACCAAATCCCTAAGCAACACCGTGTCGTGAGGTTCTTGGCTTAGCCTCTCGCCATTCGAAAAATGGAAAATTGCAGGTACACAAGAAGGCCTCCCTTCTCGCTTCACCAGTTGTGAGTCCGTCTTCGTTGGTCCAGGGACAACTCACAACTGCCTGGACCCCCTGCTGAAAATTCAAAGCAAAAACTAAAGCAAAACAATCCGAAAGGATCCCTGTGGTTCCAAGGGTTACACACACACACACACAGCGGCAACAGTTCTCATGATACAGCCTCACAGCACGTCCTGGTGGTCGAACCATGGCCCTAAACGATACAAAGCCTCAACTGCTTCAAATCATCATGGCCCAACTGCTCGCAGCTTGCATAGATCGTTGCTGTCCAACTACCTTTGCTCACTTCCGCTGTGCGCTTGTGTACTAGGTTCGATGTTGCAGTGCGGGCAAACATGCGCGGTGCCCTCGCAGAGCTAGACTTGGAGTGCTCCAATGGCTCTACAAGGAGCGTGCACAGTAAAAGCTATCCACCCACTGGCCCAGACTCAGCCAAGTAAATGCATCCCAACTTTTGACGGAAGAAGTCTTGCACCAGCAGGCTTACAGAAAATGCAGTGAGAGGTGCAGGATTTCTCCCCTCAACGGGAATTAGCTTGGGCGAGAGAGGGCATTGCTTGTCACACGAACGTCAGTATCCCTTCAGGATGAGAAGCTCGAAAACGTCCCAGAGCCGCTACAGACTCAGATTGCTGTCCCGCTTGGCGGCTCAGTATCCGGAAACCTCAAAGGCTTCGACAAAATCAGAGCACTCATTCTGAGAGGCTCAAATATGCTTCACAGGGCAAAGGCACGCCAATTCTAGCGTCCAAGCATGTCTGCGATGTCGTTTTGTGATCAAATTCGACAACAGGGCATGCTTCTTTCTAAGAGGGTGGCAAAGCCTTTCGGGAAAAAGCTGTGATGCATGAAATGAAGGCAGTGCATCTTGCGACAGTAGCTGTCGAGAGCGGTTGCCAGTGTTTGAACGGTGCTGCAAAATGTGCCCCAAGCACAGGTTGGACAAGTGGAGTCAAGGATGTTCCAGCCACTCCAGAATACACAGTGTTTGCAAGCACAACAATTAAAACGGGAGGGAGGTCTTGGACCTCAAGAAATATATATATATATAACATTCTTGTCATGACCCTCTGAGGATAGCCCCCTAAAGCGGTCTACAAAGATTCTCAGACTGTCAACGAAGCTCTGCACTCTAAGATGTCATCCTCTACTTTGCTCCTAAGTTGACTTGCACGGGAACAATGAACTGCAAGGCACTGAAAGGTACTGCAAAGCATGCTGCTCATTTGACTGTCCTGCATGTCCTGTCATCTACCAGAATCGACGGCTATCACTTTTTCCTGACCTCAATAGCTACGAACTTGAAAGTGCCCCCAAGCCTTGACAGCTTCTTCTTGAAGTCCTCTTGAAAAAGTGTTTGGCTTGGTCCCTGACAATGTGCGACTGTTGGTTGAGGATCTCCAAGTATTCTGTGACTCGATCCCGCTTCCTATCAGATTTGGCGTACGGCGAAGTTACCTGAGACTCATTGGACTTGTCTGAATTTGGCCAAACATGATGAGCTGTGGTGGAACTAACGCATCTCCTTGTGTAGCGGTCATCCAAGGGATCGGCCCCCTCAATTGCCACCAAATCATGAGAACTCTTCATCGAGCTCACCATCTCTCGAAGGCCTCACAAGCGTAGAAAAGGTCGAAAAAGGATGTCCCTGTCCGTGTCCTTGTCCGTGTCCCTGTCCGTCTCTCTCTCTCTCTCTGTGTCCGTCGGCCGGTCGGTCGGTCAGTCGGTCGGTAGGTCAGTCTGTCTGTCTGTCTGTTCTCTGTCTCTGTGTGTGTGTAGGTATGTATGTGTATATGTATGTGTGTGTATTCGTGTGTACGTACGTATATGACGTTTTGAGCTCTTCCCCCACACCCCCTAGTACTCACTGCGTTCGCAAGAATCCTGTGGTTTGTTGGAAAAATCCAGATGCCCAATGTTGTTCTTCTGAAATAGGTTTCTTTGTGATTCTTAAGACTTCAGCTTTGGTCCGTGCTTCTACTTGTAAAGATATTCGTTACAAAAATGATGGATATAACATTGAGCAAGGACTTCTCATCTCCCCGCTCAGTCTTCAGCCTCTGGGAGTCGCGACTTGGAGCGCCTTCAGCCTTGAAACAAGGCACCAAGTGAGGCTCTTGGACAGGTTGTAAGCTTTCAAAGGCCTTTACACCGGAACATCTTTACCATGCTTTTATACACGGCCAATCAATCTGCGTGGAAGATGTAGCACCAGGGTTCCTGCTCTAGAGGAGGTTGCAACCTTTGGGTGCAGGAACCGCAAATGAACCCGCCAATAACAAACAAAACATCTTTGAAGCATAACCACATGCATTGAGTCTCTCAGCTCCACTCAAAGACTCTCATGTCTGTTCGGCAAAAAGCTGATGAAATTGACATCGTAGAAGCTGAGGTTGACACGTTTCAGGAGCTCGACCCAGTAAGAAAGCCACAGAATCGCGCACTTGATTCTCAGCATGTGCAAGCAGTGCTGATCTTCAACTTGAAGGAACTCTCCAACTCTGAACCCCGCTATGTCCCGTAGAAATGTATATATATATAGATAAAAGTCAAGGATAGCAGCTATGGAAATGCAATCAGAGCTATGACTCCATCTGCTCAGACTTGGAGACAAAATGTATCACAAACGATTCTGGGCACCGCACCCGGCGCGGAACTTGCGAATAGTCTGTGCTTGTCCTGAGGCTCTCGCTCAGCCAGAGTGTTCAAACATCAGTGAGCTTGGGCCAGTACGTTCTCGGAGTGTTTTGGACCTCCCATGGTTGAGCAAAGTATACACTTGCCGGTCTGCGACAAAGCCACATTGACATGATCACATGGCTATTGGCTATGCATCATTGTCATCTGAAAAGTTTTGAACAACATAACTGAATGGATAAGTTCAGCCAGCCAGCATTGCCAAAAAACAAGATCCCAGCCTCTGGGACCATCTCTATTGGTCCTGTGGATTTGTAGATTCGTGTCATGATGATTGATGGACAAAGGCAGGAAAGAAGAGCCTCGCTCTACGCTGCCACTTGTATCTGGTGCAAGACCTGACCGAGCGACCAACGTGGAAATATGTATAATATATATATATATATATGTGTGCGTGTGTGTTTGTTTAAAATGTCAATACTGTCAACACAAACGACCCCTGCAAGCTTGACTCAAGGCTGCCCACCAAAGGCTCGGCTCAGCACATCACCCGAGAGCGCAGAGTGCCCTTCAGCAATGACTCAATAAGTGCAAACTTGAATTGAAAAGGAACACAGCAAATAGAGCAGGGAGTTCAAGTTTTGTTTGGATGCCTCATAGCTTGTCTAGCATACTGAGGCTTGGCAAGCACCCCACCTTGTGATGTGGACCTTGATCGAGGCGTCATTAAGGACCTTAGATGTTCGTGCGGCCCAAACATGTGAAGGTCTACCTTCAGAGTTGCGGATAACTGCAAGAAAGAAGTGCAACACAACTCTTGAGGCCCTTCCAGGCCACTGCTGCCAAGAAGCATTGTTCAGGCAATTTCATGCCACGATGCAGCAGATGGCTTGAGCCGATGGACGTTTGCGAGAAGCCTGTTGATAAAGTGTGACTTTATGGCGGCTTTTGAAACATGCCAATTTCCCCAGGCCGTTCCAACTTAGAGTTGTATTGTATATATAAATCAGTGCCACGCGTGCAACTTCCAGCACGTGTCATTCAGCATCACAGACCAACTTCAGAGCTCAATGTCTAATACAAAGGACAGCAAGCAGGGTAGGCACCTTCTTCTGCTTCTTGAGGTGAATGCCTACTGGGTGCACCTGGACCAGCAGAGTGCTAAAATGCTCTGCTTGGTTACTCGAATAAGATTCTGGCACCTCATGAATGTACTTAAACTCCTTACAAATGTGTATGTGTATATATATATATATTCCTGGGCCTACATATATACATGTTGCTCGGTGCTGATAGCATTATGCTTCTCCTGTTCCCTTTGCCCTCCTACACAGTTCAAACACAGTCAATTGTCATCACAAGAGGGCTCCTCTAGGGTGGCTTATTAAGAAGTCCTTGCCACGCTCTGGTGAACAAAAACACACCTAACCTGCATGCATCTTTCATGCGATGCAGCTTCTTCAATGTGTCTCTTTCCATGACCATATCAGGCACTTCCACCAGCACAAGCACGTGCTAAAAAACAAAGCTCTAGTGTTACTACAGGTGAAACGATTCCCAGTGAAACGATTCCCAAAGAAGCTTCTAGTTATATACTTAGCACACATTATGAATGAATGTAAATTCTCACAGAACTGTCACTTGAATGTCCTTGCATGGAATGACAATGTTTGACTGCATGCTGCATACCTATGACGGCATCTGAGCAAAGCTTCGTCCCAGTTGATGGCTTGAAGAGCAGCCCTGCCTTGTGCTCTGCTTTTTCAGCAACCCTGTCAAAGCATGGCTTGCATCAATCAGAATGAGCTTGACTGCACCGCAAGTCCAAGAAAAGCAATGTCAACATCCGCTGGGCGGACCATATGTAGAATGTCAGCATAGTCTAGATCCACAATGTCCACGAGAAGACAGCAAACCTGGTGCCCAACAGCATTGCCACATGTCGACTAACAGCATGGGGAGAACTTCTGAGCAATTTGACTGTATATAAACAATGAAACGGCCAACTCTGAACGCAAAACATTGCTGTGTTGAATGATTCTGCTAAGGCTGTTTAGGTTTGCTGAGTTACGCATGTCCGCCAACATGAGTTGTCCATGTCAAAAGTTCGTGGCAATCAACAATAAATTGAGTAGATCGCCGGAGCTGCTTTGCGCCCTCAACCCTGAGTCCTGCGAACCGACAACACTTTAAACTGACTCTGCAAACGACTCTGCCCTTTTTGACATATTCTCCAATACTACAAGCGTCATTCTGAGATTGTTCTTGTGTCTTCACACTCCTGCAAAAGTGCATTTAAGGGCAGGTTGCTGCCGATCGCTTCTTCTGACCTCAAGGAAAACAATCAAAAGGCACCCACTTCTCCGCACACAAGAATCCACCATGCAATATGGGTGTCTCAAAACTCGAAACCCAGCCAAACCGCAAAATTGCAAATTTGTTGGAAGATACATAACTTTGAGACAAACCCACATGTTGGAAACATGGAGAAGTGAGAGCCTGGCCCAAACACCTACTATGGCTACACAGAAAGAAGCTAGGACGATCGAAATGGCCAGCGGAGGCATGGGTATGAAGTTCGAACCAACATATATACTGTATGCTATTTATATATATATGGTGTTGGACGAAATTAGACAGTATACTTGATTGTGCCAACGGCAAGAAAACCGTACGTGTATATTATAGTCGTGCGCATTTGACAACATCACTCATGTTCGCTGACATACCGAGACATACGTCATGACCGTCAAAAAATGTTTTTTCGTTGTAAATTACTGTGCTTGTGTACGTTTTACATGTCCACACCGTATTGGCTGCCACGACATTATTGTCAAATGTCTGTCCTTTTCGTCGCAATTTCACTGGGATTGGTGGGGTGTGGGGTGGGGCGGTGGGTTGGGTGGGGGGGCAATAACGTGCGTGTGTGTGTGCACCAAACGTGGCACGCGCACCTGTTATACCCGCTTTGTTCTCATGTAAGGGTTCTACGCATTTCTGCGCGCCATTTGGTCGGCACCACAGGAAGGGTTGGGACTCGAATGAATGGTGAACTCTTGACAGATTATTCTTGCGACGACTATGCCATACTCTATAATAAACTGTATTGCGGAAAGCTCCTTTGTCTCCAAAACAGCGGTCTGCGATACAAACATATCTTTGATATGCTATGTATGGAGTTGTGAGTGCTTGAACATATGTTTCTCACTCCTCCTTCAGGCTGTGAGTCGTCTCACTCACTTCCTGATCTCATGAGTGGATCTCCTCGTCTGGTCGAGGGTCCATGAACGAAAAACATTCCTCCATGACCTGATACATTTCTCGGGCCAGGTCATGGTCATTTGACCTCATGGCGTGATACCATGTTGCCTCAACTTTGGCCAACTCTTGTCTGGCCTTCAAGTCCGCCCTGTTGTAGGGCCTGTTGAAAAAGTTGAACTTCTGTTCAGGGATTTCGATCGGCTCAGGTTGCCATGCATCAGGAGGTCCTTGTTGGACTTCAGGAGTAGTTGTGCTCTCCATGTCCTCATCTTCTTCATCACCTGGGTTGGGTTCCGGCTCAGGTGGTGAACCTCCTGCCTGCGCCACTTCCAGAGCAATCTCCACGTACTCAACTGGCACTTCGACCACATCTCCACTGTCGAGTCGAATTGTGGCTGTGTCACCACTCAGCATTCGACCATCATCCTCTTCTCCATCTGGTCCATCTCCTCCATCATCTCTTGGCGGTCCAGGATCATCCGGTGAGAATCTGTTGGGAATCCTCGATTCTCCCTGCTCTCTTCTCCTCTGATTGACCACATCCCACTGCACTTTCAGGTGTAACCCTTCATGTCGACGATTCACCTTCTCGATGTAGTGCAGGGTTTCCCACTCCAAACCATCACGGATAGAGTGGTCCTCCACAAAGCCTCCTCTGTAGATCAGCGCTCGGTGGATCCGCTGGGTGTAGTCCATCTGCATCG